CTGCCACCCAGGGCACGGGGTGGGGCCTCGTCCTCCCCCACCACCCCATCCCAGGGGAGCAGGGGGGTCACAGGGCAGGTGTCTGTCCCAGCAGGACAAACAGACACATAGAGACACCCAAGATTTTGGCTACAAGCACACGAGGACTGAACAGGGCCCGGCTCAGACCGTGCCTGCCCATGTCCCCTGGTGCTGGTGACCAGCAGTGACCTGGCACCACAACGAGGAATGAAAAGGGATGTGTTCCTATGGGATCCCATCAACAGCAGGACACAGAGCTCCCAGCTCCCCATGGCCCCAGCACCTTAAACACCATCCACCTCAGCAGTTCTCAGCTGCCCCAAAGCAGTTCTTAACCCAGTTGTGCTTTGGGGAAACACACTTCAAATCCTGCCTTTATTTTTTCTCAGCACATTAGGCCACGTCAGTCCTGTGGAGCAAGGTCCAGACTGCTCAACTGTGTAAAATTTACTACTTTGGCAGAGTTTTCTGCAGCCCAAATGGTAATTCAGACTAAGCCCTTTGATACCTCCTCGGGCTGTCCTACAAAATACACCTGAGCCCCTAAAATATTAAGTGTGTTGCTTGTCTGAAAGCCACAGTGAGGGAGGAAGAGAATTCCTGAAGAGATCAGATAAACCTCAACACTAACAAGAGCATTTGGGACACAAAGACTGTCTGCACACTGAAAATAGTTATTGCAGTGGTGCTGACACTTGAAAGGCATTTACAACATTTTTAACACAGGAAAGACATAGTTTTGCTGGTGAAGTGGTGCTTTTATGGCTGTGATGTTTTTAGGGACTCTGTAGATGTGGTGATGAACCAACTTTGGGTGCACTGGCTGTTCCTGCAGTCACCAGACAGAGCAAGGCTGCAAAGGTTGGACATTTCAGGAAACATTAAATTACTTAAAAGACAGATTTCCCAGGAAAATATACCTTAAACATGTTTCCTTTTTTTTTTTTTTTTTTAAGAAATGGATGCCAGCTTTACATTAATATAATCTATAACAATGCAAGTACAGCTCTGGTTTCTCAGTCTCCAGCCCTGGCTCTCCACCAAAAAGTCCTTTTTGCTGTCAAACTATCACTGATTTTTATTTCTAAAGCATTCTCAGCCAAATTCACTGCCTCTGGCTGCTTGAGTGTGCAGCTCCGTGCTGTGGTGCAACCCAGGTGGGATTAAGGTGTCCCAACACTGGGCTCTAGAAATCCAGTGCCAAAAATCACTAACAAGTTTAAAAAACAAACAAACAAAACAAAAAAACCAACAAAATCTGGAACCAAAACTAAATCCAAAGCACTTCTTGAACCATTTAATTGACAAGAACAGGATTACAAGTGTTTAAGAATTTTGTTTTCTTGTTTTCCGAACTAATAAAATATTGACAGTTCTGGATAAACTCATCCCAGAAAATGTTTAGGTTAAATTAACAAAGTGAGGAGCCCCTGAGCTCAGGCAAACAGCAATAGTGCTGGTTGGAGAAGGGGGAAATCACATTTTTTATATGAGAAGTCCATCTGTAAGCAATTGTGCTAATGCTTTAAAGATGATCAGCTCAGGCTTTTGGAGTCAAACAGGAAAACAACCAAAATTCTTATCGGCAAAGAAATTTTTCAACCTGAAAACAGATTCTGTCAAAATGTCAAAGGCCCAGATTTAGGTTCTGCTAAAAGAGACTTTAACAAGATGCAATTTGAACAGAAATGCTGAGTTCAATTACCTTTTAACCTCAAGTAACAGCTGGAGGGAGACCAAAAGGAAAGAGAAATTAAAAGTGTCTCATCCTTGTCCCCTTTGTGAACACACAACACCAACACTGAGAGGGGCAGGGGCAGGTGCTTCATTTAAGGGTTTTTACCCAAAAACTGAGCCTGGAAAATGCATGTCCTGGGTAATCAAGAGAACTGAAGTTCAGAGCCACTGCTCCTCCTCCAGTGGAAAACAGGAACCTGCCCAAGAAGTAGGAAATACCTGGGCCTGCTGCTGGGAAGTTTTGGGAGGTTTTGGTGAGAGGGATTTGGAAAAACACAGAAGGTAAAAAAATTCAAACTTGGTGAAAATGTATTTCAGCATTAATTATCATTTCACTCAGTTCTGATCTTCTCTTTTCCTGAACTATTTATGCTCAACTTTGACATTAAAATTTCATTTGGTTTGCTCAGAACTACTTTATTTAGCAATGTTTAATTAGACTTTCGAGAACATACATATATATATATGCACACATATTAAAAATTCAGAACTACCCTAAAATGAAATAACATTTCATTACAAAATGTGAATTTTTTTTTGCTTTAAGTGAGAGCTAGTTCCCGATTTTCCAGAATTATCAGAAAACCATGAAGCCTGTGGTTTCCTTGGCTCAAGTGGGTAACACAGACTCTGCCTGTTCTTTATCTACCTCTCATTCCACTAAATTGCACCAAAGACTGAGGGATGAAGTAACAAGACCAAAAAAAAAATCAATCAGTAATTAGGTCACGACTTTCAGAGAGGATTAATAAAAACATTTTATATGTGCAAAATGAGTTTTAAATGCCAAAGTGTTTCATAACTATTTATTAGACTGAACTTGCTCACATGAATGGTTTTGTCCCCAATTTCCTCACATAAGAATGTCCACAGTGATTGCCCCACGTTATAAAACACATCATTTAATTAATAGCAAAAACCCAAGCAGTCAAAAATAATGTTTGCCAGCAGCTACATCTGCTCGGTGGCAACACATTTCAGGAAATATTGATCGGGTGAGAAGAGAAAATCGGGGATAACGTTTCTGTATCTCCAGATTTTCTCTGGCTCATCTCCCTTGTCGGGGGAGTTTCCCGGTGATGCCGTGATTGTTGCCCGCATCATTAACCAGGTCACCGCCTTGCAGCCTGTTTGGGCTGTCCGGGGGCAGCTCTGTGTTTATTGGGTACTTTGATGCGATTGCTGATTAATTCTGGTGTCTAAAGTAAACTTGTCCCTGGGACACGCGGCAGCTCCAGCCCCGCGGGCGGGTCCCGCTCCTCTGCTTGGCCAACACCGCCACCTAATGCCGGCACATCCCGCTCCTCTGGAGCTCCAGACACCTGGAAGGATGCTCCCAGCGCCCTTCCCGCCGCATCTCCCGCCCCGCTGGGCCCCCCTCGTGCCCACCCGGAGCTGCCCCCAATGTGGCTCTCTGGGGGTGCAGCACACGCGGAGCGGGGGGAAGAACCTCTCCCCAGCTCACACAGACTTCGGGGAAGCGCCGAACAGCAGAGATGAGCTCCCGGAGGCTGCAGGATGGAATTCTGCGCGCTGGGAGCAGGGATAGCCTCAGGGGAAGCAAAGGGAGAGCAATTCTGGAGAGGGAATGTTCTTGTTATGGGGAACGCTATTATCAAAACCGAGAGCTCCCCAGTCCTGCAGAAAGGTCTGGAGCAAAGTGATTTCACTCCACACAAATACACAGCAGGAAGATAAAAAGCTGCTGTGTCTGCCCCAGACAGCTCAGATGCAGCAACGCAGGGAAGGGGTGACCTGGGCAGACACCACACCCTCACGTCTGCCTCTTCAGGGGAAGAGCCACCTCACCGTGGCGGGCTGGGAAGTGTTACAGCAGAGCATCTTGTGCTCTGCAGTGCCACGCTCAGCCCAGCAGCCTCCTCTCTGGAATTCTGCCCCAACAGCCACCACAGCTCCTGAGTTTTGCAATATTTCACTTCTGACCCAATGCTGGACTCTGTGCCTCTCACTAATGCACTCCAAACTAAATAAAACCACTCAGCATACAACTGACCCTCGTTACAGATAACAACACATGTCAAAATGGGCATTCTTGCAATTAGCATGTGATTTCTCAATCTGCATAATTACACATGGGAATCGTGCTGCAGCATGTTTGGAACTGCTACATCCCATTTTCCCCAGTAATCCTAAATCATATAAATATCTTCTGTAGGAACTACTACTTTAGATGTTACGAATTAATATTAAGATGAAATTGAATTAAATGTACTGATTTTAATGTCATGAATGCACTCATAACTATTTTTTTCCCCTGAGAACCATCTGCAATTTAGAGACTTGCTAATCCTAATTAAATGCACTTTTCTCAAGTGTGTGCAAATGAAGGGAGAAATCTGCTTGGGAAAGCACTTGCAGATTTTCCACTTCCACAAAGGGGAAGAAGAAACAGTTTTGTGATTTAATATTAGATCTCTCTCATAAGTGAAAATGAGTGTTGCTTCTTTGCAATATCAGGACATGCAGCAGTCTGAGGATGGATCTGAACTGGTAATTTGCTAAAAGCAGAGGAGGAAGAGCCCTCAAACAAGTGTTTGTGATGCTGGTCTGAACATCTACAGATTTCACTACACTATTTGGGTTATGCCGTCCATCACCTCAGACAGTGCTCCAGGCCCTCGGATTCTGTGTATGGAGGCACCAAACAGAACCTGCCCTGCAGGCTGTCAAGGAGACAGAACCACTGGGTCAGGCTGGAAGTGCCCACAGGGGGTCACCTGGTCCCATCTCCTGCTCCAGCAGGGCCATCCCAGAGCACCCGGCACAGAACTGTGTCCAGCTGGTTCTGGATCATGCCCAGAGAGGAGACTCCACACCCTCTCTCCACACTCAACATACTTGTATTAAATTATCAATTGTTTCTGAAACAAACTCTGAAGTGTCACCAAAAAAAAAAATATATATGCACACACACGTGGTCCTCTGATAATGTTATTACCACCAAAAATGCATCCAATAACTCAATTTCCTTTCTGAAGGAAAATAACTAAAAGACCAAAGGTTTCTGCATTATTTTAAGTTTTCCTCACAGATGGATTTTCTGGGGAGTGACTCAGTATTCTCACATAACAACTGAACATGGCATGAATTTGGTTTGGGTTATTGGCAGCTTCTCCCTCTCCCCCCCTCCCCAGAACACGTATGACAAAAGGTCCAGTGAATATGAAATTCCAGGCAACTCCTTTTGAGCCTCAAAAGCAAGACACAGAAACCAGTTTTGCAAAACACCAAGTCTATATTTACAACCACATGTAATAATATACTCAACTAAAGTGAAATACATCATAAATTAAATGAGTATTGTGTGCCTACTGCTTGATGACTTCCGGTTCCAACAATTAAAATAGAACAAAATGGAATGAAATAAATACATTTAAAAAAAAAAAAAAAAGAAAGAAAATCAACAATTTGTACCTCTATATATGCACTGTTATTTCCAAAGACATACAAAACCAGTAGTATCCCAATAGTTAATACTGATGGGCAAAGTGTGTTCTGAAGCACAGGGTGGTGCTGCTGTGGAATAGAGTCTTCAGGTCTGTTTTTCCATTCCAACCCCAAAGATATCAACCAAAACAATAAAAAAAAAAGCCTTGAAAAACTGTACCAGCATGAAGGGAGATTAAAAACAAACAAGCCTTAGGTCTGTTTGCTGAAACACGTTAAAACCCAGCCCTGCACAGAGGAACAACCCCGGACACCCCTGGCACAGGCAGGACAGGGACACCCACGGATTCTATAAACTCATGGAGAAATCAGGCAAAAAAATAGATCAACCATTTTCCAAGTGAATTCATCTTCAAAAAATAGGCTATAAAAGTGCAAAACTAGGAAAACAAAAATCTAGATTATGTACATATGGCTCAGCTTATGAACAGGAAAACAGGTCAATAGTGTACAATTTCCTGATACACAGCACTTCATTCCATTGCCAGTTCACAGAGACAGCAAAAATAGGTCCCATATCCAGGAACTAAGACAGACAACTGGAACATCTCAAGTTGCATAATGAAAAAACAAAGAGTTTCTAAGGTTTTTGCTATTTTACATTTGCTGTATGAGGGAAGAGAGCAAAACGAACAGTGCAAAATATTTCTTTTTTTGTTTTGTTTTACTAAAATATATGGAAGTCAAAGCCAGGTCCAGAAGGAATTAACTCTTAACTACAGGTTTCATGAGGAGAAACTAGGAAGGCAAGTCAAAATATGCAACAGTTCTGCTTTACTGGCTGGTAACTGGCCATCTTCCCTTTAAAATATTAAACTGCATGTGCATTAGAAAAAACTCTTGTTGTCTTCACAAAAAAATAAAAGGAGATATTCTCCCATTTACAGGTTATTTCTCACTCATTTTAAACACCCAGTAGATGCTAAAACTTGACATCAAGAAGCTTCCAAGCACAGTCAAGAAGGCTCCACCAGAGCCACATCCCTTTTGAAGTCTGGAGATCCCATATTCATATTGCAAGTCTTGTTTGTGACTTTACAGCTTGGACAAAGGTGCAAAGTAGTTTTTACTCTAAATGTAACTGTGTGGAGCTTAGCACAGAACTAAACCTCTGCAGCACTCAGATCAGTATTGGTTCTCAAGCCAGTCCTAGGGATTTTCTGCTGCAAAGTTTTGGGAGAGATGTTTGAGAGGCTTCTCTGAAGAACAAGCAACCAATGCCAAGAGAATAATCCAACCACACTTCAGGAAATCCAAATGTCAAGTATTGCCTCGTCCTTGCATTTAAAAACATGCTGGAAACAAGCCCAGAGGGGACCAGAGCCCTCCAGCACGTCGTGGTCCTCTCACACACAAGGCAGATCAGCACAAGGTCAGCACCGTTGCTTTAATGTTCACAACATTTAGAAACTGGACAGTTTCAGACAGTTTATTTGGAAGTTGTTTAAAAAAAAAAAACCACCAACCAACAACAAAAAAACCCTAACATAGTTCAACATGGAAAAAAAACCCAAACAGATGAGAAACTTTCACTTTTATGAAAAAGGAGCATTAAGCCAACAGGATTTCATCTTCACTATTTACAGGTTACCTGAGGTGCAACGATATATATTCTTTCAAAGAGAAACTCTTCAGCAGCGCTCAAGTATGTAAAAATATAGTTCCTACCTAATATTTGGTCAATTCGTTCTAATGAAAAATACTCAAGAAGTCAATGTCAAGATATACATTCTCCACACACCTTCATAACCCAATTGTTTAGACTACTTTTTATGGCTATTTGGTACAAAACGTTAAAAGAACCAATATTATAAAACTGTAGTGTTTCTATATACAGTACAATCACAGCTTAGTTCAGTAGCTTTCACCATTTTCTCTTCCTCAGGGGATGAACTGCAGGTATAACTCCATAAAACATGCACTTGTGTCCTTAGACCTGGGGGGAAAAGAGGGGGAAAAAATAAGTTTGTGGCACGTAATTATAGAACAGCATAGCACATTTTTTTCAAGGAGTAGCTTTAAAACATAAAGAGAATTTTTTCCACGCTCTTGCTCAGTGTATTTAGGAATTGGTATTGCCATATAAGGTCTGTATATTTAATTTTCCAAATAAAAGCTGGCAATCAAGTCTACTTTGGAAGATACTCAGCCCCAAGCAGAGCTACAGGCATGAAATTGAGTTAACTTAAAACACCACAGCTGGACACAAATGTGCTTAGTAGGGACAATAAATGCAGTAAGATTAGAAGAATATCAAAAAATAAAGCAAAGTACTTTAAAAGCTGTCAACTAGATGTCAGATAGTTCTGTGCCCAAGACATGTAAAATCTTTCCATAAAATAGTGTGTGCTGGTCCAGGTGCTTCAGCATTCCAGACACAGCTCCTTAAATTTGAACGAGGAAAATGATCTGTAGCTCTGGGTTTGAAAGAGGCCCACAGATACATTTATTTATGCTCTTACAGAGCACTTGTCTCCTGAGCAGGGGAGGGTGCTTGGTGAGCTCTCAGCCACAGCACTGAGGAGCTGGAGCACAGGAGTTCACAGCACCAGGATAAAGCTTCTCATTGACCTCTTCCCCTAAGGGGCTACACCCACCCCTCTGTCAAATAGAGGGAAAACTACTTGGAATAACCTGTCCAGTACAAAGAGAAACTGTGCAGGGACTGCCAGGACACCCTCACCTCTCCATGAAACAATCCCCTACAGAGCCGTGTTTGGGGCCGTGCTCAGGTCTCAGCAGGGGAGAAATGAGCAGTGTCTGCACTCTCGGGAAGGGTTAACCTACATTTTCAGGAAGGACCAACCCATAACCTCCCCGAGCACTCAGCAACTGTGATCACAGGCACTTCCTCTCATTTCTAATTCTCCACAACTTGTTCCCCCACCCCCAAGGACTGACTTAACTTTGACTTTCTGACTTAACTTTGACTTAACCTTATTGACAAGACTTTGCTTGAACACTTCCCACCAGTATTGTACCTAATTAATATATTTATCTTGTTTCAGCCCTCCTATTTCTTTCCAAGAAAGCAGCATCTACGCACTTATTACACAAATCATTAGTACTGTTCAAAACAACTAATTCTGCTACACCAGCACTTGGTTGAATTTATAAGAAGGGGGGAGTTTGTGTCTTTTCAGTTGTTGTGGTTCAGACTTTCACAACCTCTCATCAAGCTGTGCAGCACCTTTGACACCACCAGTACACAAAGCAAGATTTGAGCAACAATGAGTTCAAAAGGTTTGTTTACCGTTTCTTGAAGGATTTAATTCTTCTTGTCACTGGGCCTGAAGTGTGAGTTCCCCACGAAGGGCTCGTAACTCCTCTTCTGCAGGAGGCTGCTGGGTAAGTGTTGGTAAGACATTGATCTCTTCCCTGGGAAAAAAAAAATAATTTAAGAGGAATTAGAATGATTTCCTGCTAATTTCAGGTCTACATCAGCATCCAGGCTCCCAAAAATACCACAGATGCCTCAACAAATCATCTCACCATCAGGCCTCAAGACATAGATATTCCTAGTCCTGATTAATGGTTATATGGAATTCACTGTCCAGAACAAATGCAAGGAGAATGAAAAGCATTAATTTAACAGCTTTGTGCTAAGCTTTATAAACATAATGCCCATGTCTGATTTCATTCATTTTATTTGCAAGAAAGAAATTTCTTTGCTCAAGTCATCACACAGCAGAGGCCTCACCTAAGGAGGTGTAAGTACTGCAGGACATTCCAGATCCAGTGCCTGTGTTGGTTTGAAAACTCAATCTTTGAATGAGTATTTGAGAGGAAAACTGGGGATACTTCATTGTTGCCATCATGGATTATATGGCACTTGTGACACTTTAAAGAGTGTTAATATACATTTTCTTGAAGCCCTTTGTTAAGCAATTTTCAGGCCAGTATACAGGTAGTTTCATGTTTATCTGAGACCATTAATTCAGATTTATATATGTGAAATCAATGCCTGTTCCATATTAAGTCTTACTACCTCAAGCAAGCAGTCAAAAACACTTCATAAAATTAAAGAAAAAAGTCCCGAATCATTACTCCCACAGGATACAAAAAGCCCCACTGCCATCCATATTCCATGAGAGCTTTAAATGCAGCATTGGGGAAAAAAAAAAAACCAAAAACAAACCAGCAAGCTTTAATTAAATTAAAATGGCAAAGCTAAATTAATATTTCAACAGAATCTAGGAAGCCATTGGAGTGTGTCACGAGCAATTGTCATTTAATTTGCAGCCTCTGCCAAGTCAATCAGCCAACAGGTTATCCTTGATAACATGTTGCCATTGCAAAAGGCAACTAATTTGAAAATAACACAAAGTGAGTGGTTTCAGAATGTTTCTGTCTCTTCAGGGCAACACGGGATGGCAGAGCTTACAAGCAATAAGGGAAGGCATCGTGCCTTAATCAAGTTTGCCAAGTGGAACATATTCTCATGACAACTTGATCCAGCATTTAACATGCAACATAACGTGTTCACGGGACCTAAATAATGTTGCCACGAGGCACAGGGGCCCTTGGAAAAGGGGTTTGACATCATGTTTTATAATATCACCAGAGTTCAACAAAAAGAGTGCAGAAAGCTGCAGGTCTGCACCTGCAGTGCTTTGCATGTGGTGTCTGACACAACACAGCTCTGAGGAGCTGAAACAGTTGTACTTCGGCTTTTTAACCAAAAATAAAGAGAATTTGCAGGAACTTTTAGCTGCAGTCTCCACCTACATTAAAACTCAACACTGAGAGGTTTGCTGGCTGCTCCCCTATAGCCTCTCAACAACTATCAAGGTTTGGGTTGGGTTCTTCAAGGCAGAATGGTTGGAAAACTAAGAAATTAACCTCACAAACCTTTTTATTATTTTTACTGTTTATATTTTGTTCATATTTATTTTATTTACATCTTACTGGATAGGGGATTTTATTGAAGTTGCTAAGAAACCCCATAGAGGAGGGCTTGCTTCACAAGGCTTTCCAAGGTAGGTAACAGCCATAAAAAGTTGCTTTCCTTGCTCTCTGTAACCAACAATGAAATCTTTCTTTCCACGACAACACCACTTGTCAAATTAGTTGCAGGCACAGTTTTGAGAGCTTAAAGTAACAAGGAACAGTGGGGAGTTCTGGACTCCAGGGTAGTTCTCCAGGCTTGCACCAAAGAGGAAGCAGAAAAGCCATGGAGGTTTCTATGGCAGACAGGTGGAGCTTCCAAAAGGAGAACAATGTGGATTCCAGTGAAGTCATTGTTTAAAAATAGCGTTGTATGAATTGCTCCTTCAGCAACCTGGCCTGGCTAGGCCTGCTGACACAGAAGGGAGCATCTCCCATCCCCACACACGCTGCTGGAACCCTCTGATTCATCCTCTCTCCTCACCAGGAACCAAAGGACAGCAGCACCACTTGTACTCCTGGCCATCCCTGGGCACTCTGGGCACAACCCAGAGCCCAGTTTGCACCCCCACAGCAGCTGCTGGTGCAGCTCAGGGCACACAGACAGTGCTCTTCACAAAATCAGCCAGTAACTCCACAACCTCCTCAGTGAGCCAGCTGGGATGTTGGCTTTCCCTCATGCACTCCCCGCCCAGCCTGGAAACACAACCGGGACACTTTCCCTCACCCTTCCAGAACCCACTGGGCAAGCCTGGATATTTATTTATATATCTGATATATTTTTGAAGCCCTCGACCTTAAAACAAGCAAACAAAAACCAGAACAGAGTTAGCAAATGTATTTTTTTGCCCCACAACTAAATGTAGATTTACTATTTCGCAGTTTGCTCTGACCTCAAGTAACACACCCCTGGCTTGTTACGAGCCCAGACTACTTCAGAAGAGTAACTTTACTGCTTCCAGAGAATAGGAGTATTCAGAGTTCAGGAACAGACTTTAAGACTACACAGCACACACACACACTATTCATTTTTATAGTAGGATCTTCATTTCAAAATTCTAAGTCCTGTATTTGTAGCTAAGTCCATGCTGACCTCAGCTCCAAGTCATAAATACCACCTTCTACAAATAGTCAGACAACTGCTTAAATATCACCCAGCACCTTTTCATCTTGGCCTCCTGCTAAGTTTTGAAAATGCTGACCGAGAACAAAACACAAAAAGCATGTATTTCATAAAAGTACCAAAGTTTTCCCAATACATCACAAATCATTTATCTCTGCTAGGCCCAGGATTTTCCACAGAGCATTACTACACCATAATTATAACAGCAGAAACCTGCAGTCCTGATTTAACAAAGTATTCTGTTCCTGCTAAAAACTAAGCACTAAAAAAACCCACTGAAGAACAGAAGTATAAGATTTAAATCATAGTTTTATGATCTGCAATACATCCTTTTCTGCTATTGAAGGGAACGATTGTCCACGACAGCTTTTTCTTTTTTTTTCTTCTTTTTTTTTTTTTTTTTTTCTTGGTAAGAAGTTATATTAATATTCCAGATGGTCCAAGACTTCTGGTATATTAAGCAGAAAGGCTCATTCCATATCCTGGATTAGTCAACATGTCTGGAGTGCTCTGATGAGCAAACAATACATGTTTGCTATCAGAGCCCCATGGCAGGGGGGAAGGAGGGAACTTGAGGAACTTAAAATCCCTCTTTAAAATTCAACCCTCCCTTGCCTAATTCCCCAAGCCAGGAGTTTGCTGAACCTGGATTTTAAATTTAAAATCCAAGCACTGGCTGGACTTAGTGAAACACCGAGTACAGCTTTATTTTCTGTGCTTCAAGGTGGGTACAACCCATTTCTATTCCCTTCCCCTCCCTCTGTACCCGTGTAGGACACTGAAGGAGGAAGGGGACGCTGTACCTTCTCCTGTAGAGCTGGTCACTTGGCCATTGCTGGATCCACAGGAACCGTACAGTGATCCAGAGCCATATGGCTCGTAGGGTTTGAGAGCAGTCAATGCACTGGGAGGATCAGCATCATCAGAATTCAGAAGCCCTTGTTTGGTTGGCAAAGCGGAGGGTGCAGGTTTGGTGTGAGGGTATTCCTGAGGTAGCAGATTTGCATATCTGTTTGCAACACGAAATCTGCTCATTTCGTATCTCCTGTAATTGGCCATGGCAGAGTCCACGTGGTCAACAGCCACCAGGGTGGGTTTCATTCGTTTGGAAGAGGGTTCACCATAGTCTAGGTTTACATTGTTCCCAGATTTACTACAAAGATAGTCCCTTCCTCGATGACAAGCCCAGGCAGGTTCATTTAGGTGAGAGTCAAGAACCCCATTCATGCTGCTGCTTATCAGACCAGACTGAGTCACTGGGGCACCCAGAGCTTTTATCTTAGATTCAGACCTTTTTACTCTGTCCAGCACTGGAGAGATGCTGGGACTGGAGTGCACTTCTTGCTGAGGTTGTCTGTAGTTATTTGCCTGAGCTCCAACATTACTTGGCTGTTTATGAAACTTGAGGTTACTGGGGGCTGTGCTGCTCGACTCCGTCGCTGAGAAGAGAGGGGCTTTGTTCTGTGCAGGGGGACATTGTTTAGCTTTCCCTGTTTGCAATGGTTTCTGCTGTGTAGATGGGGAAGCCTTGTTTTTATTGGAATGAGGAGGCAGAGGAGGCACATCTTTGCCCAGCAGAGCTGGGGGACACCCCGTGCGCCGGGCCTTGGCCACGGCCTTGGTTCTGTAGCCGTTCTTGTTAACGGTGTCGGGGTTGTACTTGTGCATCAGCCTCTGGTGCATCATTAGGACCTCGGGGTAAAAAGTCCTGTAAGTACAGAAGGGGCAGGTGCTGGGTGCTATCAGGCCTCTAGTTGCAACCACTGAACATTCTTGTGAAGCCTTGCTGGATAAATCCAAGGGCTGCTCGTGACAGCCCGCGACAGGTTTGTGTTTGTAGTTCTCAGTGCACTCCTGCACATCATTCACATTTTTTCCACCAATAAAAGCACAGATATACTGGACATCATCTTCCTCTGATGCCACAGAAACCTTTCTCTCTCTTTTATGAGGAACATTAAGCTGAGCTTCCTTCGTTTCCTTCTCAGCCTTTAGTTTTTCCACATAAGCAGTGGGCACGTTCTCGGGTATTTGACTGGAATTGTTACAAACAGAACCTTTGTTCGATTCCCTGGAATTGGTTTTGATTTTTAAAAAGACTGTGCTGCCTATTGCATTGCTCAAGGACAGAACTTCCTTTTGCTGCTTGGCAGGTGGGCAGCTCTCAGCATCTTTGGCACCATCAAAAAGCCTCTTCAGGTTTTTGGTTTCTTGAGCACCATCAGCAGCCAGCGAAAGCACCGTCTCCTGACTCCGTAATGACACTTTGCTGTCACTTTTCGCGTCTGCTGCACTGTCACCATGCCTGTCCTTGTGATGTCTCTCTAAGTGATACCTCAGTGAAGTTTTCTGTGCTGCTGCATACTCACAGAATTCACATTTGTACGGTTTTTCACCTGAAACACAGTTTTATCAGTCAGTAAGTTTGACACAATTCTCCCTCCTGCAGCCCCAAACCCATCTCAATAGTTTAAACAACATCTTATTGCTTTGACTAACTACAGTGACATCTTCTGGCTGCAGTGGAGATGTTTCCCACACTTGGCCAGGGATGGAGATGGGAGCTGACAACGTGTTTGGCAGAGATAAGCAAGAAGTGTAACCGTGGGTCAACCCCAACAACTTGTAGCCCTTGATCGTGCCACAGGTGTGCTACTCAACAACACAAATGGCACAGCTCACCTATAAATAGAGCTGCTTCCCCAGAAACAGGGACATGCAGAAGTAGAAGACTTTGCCTGGCCACAGAAAACAAGAAGTGGAGTTGAAAAGCACTCTCAGCTTTTCACAGGGAGCAGCAGCTGGCAGACAAACAACCGAATACTTGGGGAAATATTTTGAAAAATTAAAACCAAACCCAAAACCTGTTGCTACACTGCTAAAAGCAGAAAAAATTAAAGTTTTAAAACATATTTTGTTTTTAACAATACTTGATGCAATGAGTCCTATTCAAAAACGTTTATCCTAGCTAAATGATTCATTCTAAGAAATTTTAATTGCAATTATTAAATTCTTTTAGCATCGGAGAAAACCTTGTTCTTAATATCAATAGTTTTAAAGGTAACTTCTGATTTTCATTTCTAAAAAAGTGAGTTCAGCAGATTTCCTTCCCCTCCCACGAAGGTGAAGCCCCCATTACCTGTATGAGTTCTGAGATGAATATTGAGGTAATAATTGGAGCGAAAATACTTTCCACAGTAGCTGCATTCTCTGGAGGTTCCAAGGGTTTTAACTTTTGTTCTTTCCAAACTATCTTCATTTTTGTCTTTGGGAGAAAAACATAGGTATATTATTAAGAGCAAATGCAAATGTGTAATCTTGTTTAAAACAACAACTATTTTAATTGGGTTTTTTTAAGAAAAAAACACAGAATTATGAACTGCTGTGCTGTCAAATCCTATAGTCTACAAGTATCTTTTGTTCTCATCTCAGAGCACAAGAGCTAAAATGTTTAAAAGTTCTATCTGTGTCCAGAATCTGTGGCTTGTGAGTGAAATGAAGGAGCCCAGAGAACAAATAAGATGCAAAACCACAGCTCAAAGAAGAAAAAATGTTCTCTTTACTGACCTACAGGAACTTGATGGAGAATGGCCCATCTCAAAAACTCACACAAGTTATAAACTGCCCTATTTTACCAAAGGGCTTGAATTAGTGTGAGAATCATGATTCTGAATAAAAACGTGCTCTGTGCACAGTGGCCAAACACAAGGAGGTGTTTTGGGGAAGGAGGGCAAAGAAATAGATGGAATTTTTTTATTAAATCTTATAGTAATTTCTGTGCTAATCAAGGGTGTATCTGTATCCAGCATCCTTAGATTTGATGAGCAGTCTTTCCCTAGAAGCACTGATGCTAAAGCTTGGAGAAACAGGGAGAGGGAAGTGGACCCATGTATTCCAGGAACAAATCCAGGGATGGCCAAGTGGTTCCACTCGAGTGCAGCTGCAGCAGGTGCCACAGGAGGGCGGCAGGGACAGGGAAATGGGAGAGAAGAGCTCTCCCAGCACCACCGAGCAACGAGACTGTGCTGGCAGGTTCAATAAAAACAGAGACAACTTCAGCTAAACACCCAAGTCCAACTGGAAACCAGGAGAAGGAAGGAGACCTTTGGCTTGACTAAGACTGCAGATACTTAACAGATGGAGGTTAAAACAGTTCTTGGAGGTTCCTATGTGTTGGAAAGGTTCTCTAGTGGAAATGCTCCTTTGTTTGGCTCAGCTCTGGCTAAGCCAGGCTGTAGCTGTGTTAAACAAACACATCATGTCTCAATAGCTGTGACTCAGCACCTCACACCGAAATCTGCTGTGCTTTAGGATAAGACGCTGAGAAACAAAACAAGCATGTTAACATTAGGTAATAATTCCATTCCTTTGTTACTGGAGGCAAAATAAAGGGCTGCACATTACCAGAAATGGAAAAGTCAGCCCTGTGTGTGTGCCAGGACATTCTGTACGTCGTGTCTTTCCTTGAGATTATGCAAGTGTCTGTTCTTTAAATGCCGACTCGGAGCATGTCACACACAGGAATGTGAGATTAGCTGCAAGACTCTTTGCTATTCCTTTCTGTCCCCAGACAGGCAATCTTTTTCAATTAAGGAATCATTCAGTATCACTTGCTTTTCCAAGACACTGTGACATGCAGAATTAATCCTGGGTAATGTACAGATGGAGCCTATCCACTCTGTCAGCAACCCTTCAAGGAGGAGGACTTAAATATATACCTTACACACATGTCCACATATTAACAGCCTGCATGTCCTTGCACAACGGATTTAAACTTGCTGGCTCTGACATTTAGGCTTTCAAGTTACTTCTGTTCAAAACAAACACAGAACTTGCAGTTTGACAGAAAAGGTTTTAAATTATTCTTTACTCCTCAGGGTCTTAAAACTGCTGGAATTCAGTGCTGAGCATTTTCTGCCCTTTTAAGATACAGGGTGGGGAAAAAGTGGAACTGCAATAATTTCTTCAGAACTACTCTGGGTGAAGAAGGGATATGCAACACTCCAAAGCATCCAGTAAAGAGAGAGAGAAGGGGTGAGTAAACAGAGACTTTTCCAACACTGATTGTTATCAAAGCTATTTCAGTGATTCCAGTAACTCATAACTGCAAGAAGGCCCAACACAACTCCAAAGACCTCAAAATGGCAGCATCCAAATCTTCCTTTCCCTGTCATTTTTCTCTTTTCCCTTTCCCCCACCATACCATTTCCTATATAGTTTTTTTAACATTTCCCACCAAGTTTTGACAAGGTAACAAAGACACAATGCATTCTTTGGCTCTGAGGAGTTCCCAAGCAATTCAACAACAGCTACTTCAGACTCAAGTGCTCCAAACTCTCCTCACCTAAATGAATTGTTTCCGAGAGCCCATCTTCAGATCCATCTTCGGAGCCTCCTTCCATTCGCTCTCCCGCTCCGTTTTCCTCCAGGTTTGTGATTATATCACCACAGAATGTCCTGGAAGCAGCTGAGGTCTCTCCATCAGCCCTCCTGTCTCTCTTGTGCACCCTGGAATGAAGGACTAGCTGGTGGTATGTTCTGAAGGCTTTCCCACACTCGGAGCAGTGTGTTGGTTTCTCTTTGTTCTGGGATGATTTGGGATCCATCTCCAAAGAAGGCACTTCACCACCTGGATGTTTCAATTTGTCTTGGGTTAAGTTACCATTCCCTGCATAACTGCTGTTTTTATTTACTTTTGACTTCCCTGTAGTTTCAGCCTGGCTACCTTTATTTGCATTCCAAATTTCACAGAGTTCTTCTTTATCAGAAGATGACTCATCGTTGTCTGTACTTCCTTCTTGCCCTGGTTCTTTCACTTGGCCGTGGCCAACTGCAATTTTCCCTTTGGTAGCCAGCTGCCATGCTTGGTATGTGGTGAAAGGATCCAGCTCAGCAATCCATTTGGCAGGTTTCTGCAGTTTGTCCTTATCTGGAACTGAATTTGGTCTCAAGTTCAAGAACTGGAAAAATTCCTGGTGTTGAGATGTTTCTTCTGCATTCACTTCAGCAGTCACTTGGGGGCTTTCACCGTTGGCTACTGATTCTTTGGTGTGCACTTTGCTGTGCTCAATTAAAGTCTCTTTATTGTGAAATAGGAAACCACAAACCATACAAATTTTGTAAGGTGACGTTACATTTTCAGTTACATGCTCCTGCACCACCTCATTTATTGTTACGGGGCCTTCAGAACCTTGTTGGTGCTTGTTCCTAGAGCCAGGCTTTCCAGTGTGTGTCCTCATGTGATTTTTGAGGAACCAGGGCTCTTTGAATCTTCGCCCACAAACATTACACCAGTACGTGAAAGAGTCTTTATGCTTTTTCATGTGCGCCTCAATGTCAAAAGCTTTATCAAACGTCTGCCCGCAAACTTTACAGCTGAGTTCTTCGCTGTCCTGCTCATTGTTTGGGGAGGGCAGGTTGGTTCTTACCTGACACTTATCCAGAGGGCTGAGATACTCTGCCTCGACCCTCAGGACAGCCGGCTCACACAGCGTGGGCCTGTGCTGGGTCAGAACGTGCTTCCCAAGCTCCTCGGGGTGTTTGAAGGTCTCGTCACAGAACATGCAGTCCAGGGGCATGCAGCCCTCAGCCTGCATGAGGAACTTCTCCTGCAAGCTTTTGTAGGAGATGGTGTTTGTCCCTTTTATCGTCATCGAGGCGTCGCTGTTGTCCATCTGTGCCCCCACAGTACTGGCTATTCCATCCGGCCCTTCCATGTATGCCAGGAGGGGCTGGGTGGGCATGATTCCTCCCTTCTGTTCCCTCTTACATCTCACTGGAAGGCTGCAGTTCTTTGGGGGTGCTCACTGATCACAATAAGGACACTTGTAGAGTTCTCCAACATGTGCTTACAAGTCTGCTGAGCTGGAAAACCTCTGCCAGGAAAAAGGTTGGTTTTCTGTTTTTTCCACGAGCAAAAAAATTAATTCTCTTTCAGCTTTACGTGCTTTCACACATCACTGCGAGTGCATCCGTGGGTTCACTCAGCGATGGAATGAGGTTTCTTATTGAGTTGTGTCTTCAGATTTTTCAAGTCTACAGATACAGTCAGTTGCACTTAGTTTTGTTGTACAAACATTTCAAATAGTTGCATTGGACAAAAGACACTCAAGGCCAAGTTCAGTGCCACAAAGAACTCCAGCACCTGGAAAAGAGAAAAGAGTCAGTCAGACTTTTCCAAAGAGAAGGATTGTATCCCAGATAATGAAAACAGGAGGGCTGAGAACTACCAAGTGCTTTTGAACACAGAAGGCATATTTTTAAGAGTCAAAGAGGGATAGCTGAAAGGCACTATGGTCACTTTTCTACCTTTCACACTTGAAATAGTTTGGTCTGGACCATCCCTGTGTTCCATGAGCTGGGTTTCTGTGTCTGCTACAGAACAGCAACACTTTGTCTCTTCTAAACCTGCTCCTATGCTGTTATATAAAGCTGCTGAAACCATATTTCAATACACTCCTCAATTCACAACAAGCAAACACTGCAAGCCCAAGTAACCTTTCCTTGAACCGGTGAAACCACAGTAAAACTTCACTTGTTTGTCCTCTAAAGGCTGTTGAGCAAAGGACTTTTTTTTTTTTTTTTTTGAAGACCAGACAGCTTGGAATCAGCTTTTACAGTTCTGGAACACAGGAAGTGTCAGCACAAATCTTTGTATGAAGGACTATTCACTAGTACCACACTCAGAGCTTTTCCTATCACCCACAAATTTACAATGTCTGTGACGGTTTTGGGGCTGATACAATTAGAACATCTCAAAGTTTGATATAAACTGATACTATTTCTTGAACAGTATATCAATATTTAAATCATACAAGAAGCCAACTACTATGTTTTTAAAAGAAAGCTCTTTTACTTTCAAACGGCACACAACAAAAAAGGTGCTTAATTGATTTTACTCACAAGGGAAAGATTCCACAAGACTAAAAAGGGTTATAATGTAGTTAATCACAACTCCAATTTAAATCTCCAAGCCTACTAAAGTTATAATGTCTGCTACCAGCAACTCACCACTCTAGGCTGACAAATTATAGTTGGGAGGAGTTCAGGGCTCCACTTGATCAAATTTCTGGATGAAGGAAAAGTCTAGCAAACTAATACAAGTTTAATATAAACTGAAGAAGAATCACTCAGAGAAAACACAGATTTCCAGATAAATTAAAATCTAATGACAAGAATTAATTCAAAATCTGACTCAAACTTTCAAAAGTGTCTCCCAAGAGCCAGTGATCACATGACTTGAATTAATATTCCCCAATAAAGGAGGAAGTTATTATTGCCAGTTGCTTCTCTTCTATTTTTCTGTATCTCCAGAGCTTACAAGTGTCTCCCCTGCCCAGTCCTCTCACCCAGGTTTAAACAATGAGCACATTTAACACCAAGAAGCTTCTGGGTTTTTTAACTCAAGTTGTCCTAGGCCTGGGCCAAAGACTCATCTCCTGCTACACCCAACTGGAGGGATCTTGGGGTGAGGTGGAGAGTGTAAGAGGGAACAAGCCACTGACAGGCTGGTGCCAACAGAACCTGGATTTTCTTTTCTAACTACACCCTTTCTCCCCAGTTTCAGGTTTATCACTGCCATGATTAACACTTCCTCCCTGCATCATGACTCAAAAATCTCCAGTAACAGGCAGGTTCAGGCTGTGGGGTGACACTTCTACTGCAGCCTTTGCCTTTGTCCCTTCCCTCCTCACTTCTGACTTTCATTCTCTCCCTATAGGCAGCTGGAGAAACTATAATCAAAGTTTGAAGCTGAAGTATTCAAAAAGCTTTCCCTTTTGTAAAACAGAAGGGAAAAAAACATATCAAAGGGTGCTGGTTAGCATGTTTTACTTCAAGTTTCAACTTGCCTTTTTGTTCTATTTCTACTGTAGTTTTAAGAGGTATTTTTTTTACCCAACAGGATAACATGCTGCAGCAAAGCTGAGTGACTATCTGCCTGAAAATAATTTAAGCAAATAATTTCAAACAAACAAACAAACAAACAAAATTTAAAAAAAAGGATTAAAAAAAGTGGAACCAGCTTAGAGTTGACTGCATTTTCTTTCTGAACCACAGGGAAGCGCTCTGCAAGGAATAGGTGTAAGAATCATCCTACAAAAATGCCTACAAGAAGCATTTATGGGGCATGAAGGCAGATCCAAAGGCCAGTGCCTGAAGTCCCAAATAGAATTGCTGGGATTGGTCATCCACTACTTCCTTACAACTGTCTACAAACACAGAAAAAGCCAATTAGGGCTGATTACACTCCCACTTTGCAGCACCACAATATCCACACAACAGAGAAACAAGAATTAAGTCACTGCAGAGAGAAAACAGATGAAAAGCAGCAAAATCCACACTCAGCCCCTGGTTCTCCACAGCATTCTGGGATGAGGTGAGGGAGGACAGAGCTCCCTCTAACAGGGACCACCACACCCAGCTCTACTCAAACAAACCCAGCCTGGGATGATACAAACACTGACAGCCACGTCCTTCAAGATTTATTAGACCTTAAGGGACAGGCACAGATCACATCTAGGAAAGGCCCCAGGTTGGTCACTGGTGTGTGAAAAATCCACCTCAATCAATAACGTTTTCTCTGGTAAGTCCTTTAAAAATGGGACTGTTTCAATCTCAGCTGTAAAAAATTAAACCTGTCCTCATAAATACAGAGTGCACAACTAACATGGGCCGTGAGAGGAGTTCCAAGGAGCTTGGGTCCAGTTTTACTGGCTATCAGTAGGTTTGAACAAGCCCTTTGGACACTTCCTCCATGGTCACAGCACTTTGCACCCTTCCACCAAGCTGTGTCGGCTGTTCAGTGCTTTCCAAGCTTTTAATAGAGGCTCTGAACACTTCTGAAGAAACAGCTACAGCTCATCCTCTAGGCAGCACTGCAAAGCAGAGCAAGATATTCCTGTTTATGGAATCTCAAATGGCTCTTTGCAGTTCAGGCAACCATTGCTCTTGGATACACAGGAGACTGTACCTATAGAGGGGGGAAAAGACTGCAGATGCACGTAGACAGAATTATATTCAAACTGAGAGGAAGAGAACAAAACTACTGGAGTCAGGAGGTGAGTTAGAAAGCTCAAGTCTTATTCTTGTATCTGGTGATTACACACCTCACTCTGATTAGATACATGGCTTTTACAAGCAGGCAGGATTTTAGGCTCTTGTTGTTTAGACAAGCCAACACACGCTGGAACTGCAACCCAAATATCTACACCAGGATTTTATCCATTAGTAACAAACCTTTCTTCCTGCTGAAGATAATGTGCCTTGGATTTGAGGACCAAAAATGCTGATTAATCACATTCCTGTTATTCAAAACCCTGCAGGCAGCAGGAAAACTGTCCAGAGCTGCCTCAGTTGTTGCTTCCTTGGGCAAGTGGACAACCTGTGGGTTTGACCAACACTGACTGTGGCTGGAGGTCTGTGCAAGAGCTCAACAAAAAAACACACAGTACCTGAGTTTCTGCTGCCATCTTTCACTTTCAGAAGACCAAAGAGCAGGCACACACCAGAAGCAGAGATAGGAGGAAAGGAGCAGAACAAAACAGGAAATCCTTCCTTCCAACAGCTGAAAAGCCGTAACTTTGCTCCAGATGAACTCAAGGTTGAAAATAAGAACTTACTTTTCCGTCCTCACAAGGAAACTCGAGTTCTGCCTTCCCTGCTCTAGAAATGTCACCATGCACCTCACAGCCCAATCCGAGGCCCTCAGGTGCCAGGGGGCTGCTCCAACACTTTGAGCAGGGCAGGAAGAACCTGCCAGGACTTTTCCTGGCACGGTCTGTCCAGAAGCGACAAACGCCTCTCAGTTCCAGGATGCCACTTACTGTATGTACTTCATCATTCCAACAGTGCAGAGCCTGAGCATTCAGCAAACTTCAGCTCAACCTGAGTCATATTTGGCTATAGGGCCTTTAGCCAAGTATTTCAACAGGTTCATGGCGATACCCATTACATTTATAAACACCACAAAACGTATATAAATAAAGATTCCACTGGACAGATGAGAACATCTTGTTTTCACTGCACTTGCCAAACAACCCAAGAACCACACCAAAACCCTGCTGCATATAAATGCATTGTTAAAACAGAGAAAATTTAATTAAGTGCCTGTAGAGGAATTTAATTTATTTTTATTAAATTACACAACCAAAGACAACATATTACAATCTCAAAGATTTCTTTGGGAAATGACCAATCAGGAGTAATTCTATTGCATTTCTACTTCCTGCATTTCAAAATCTCCATGAATATGTAATAAAAACTCTTGACACACCTTTCAGAGAATAGCAGAGTCTAACTATTGAATTTCCCATTTTAAACATTACAGAGCACTGGGAACAAAAGCTGCATTCCAAGTCTCGGGAAAAATATCTATTCCTTGCTACTTCTGTGCTGGCAAAACTATTTTTAAAGTGTAAAAAGCAGAGGGGAACAATTACAGAAGTTAAAGTAGTTGCTGCAAGACTTTCTGAGAAACAGAAGTGAGAAAACTACTCGAGTTACAGCCAAATTCAGGACAGTTGGTTACTGCTCTGCATTGGCAGACACAGCCTCAGACACAACCACCTCACAAACCCCGAGATTCTCAAATTCAAGGCCAGCAGCAAAGATATCACTGCATAACAGATGACCAACTTCAACTGCTACAGATCAACCACCTTAATTTTCACTGTGTATTTGGCTTCAGAAACTTTCATGTAACTCTCAACCCTACTTTAAAAAAAAAAAAAAATTCAGCTTTCCTCATGTTTCAAGAAGTTTCAGGATATTAAGAGTCATCTTACACAAAATGTTCTTTTCTCTTGGTGTGTTCATGGCCCAGAACAGGTTGCTGGTAAATGGATTTTACACTGCTGATTGCTTAATGGAAATTACAAGTTAAACACCTTCTTTTTTTTTTTTTTTCATTTCAATCTACAAGTTTTGCCTTTTCAGAATCGTTGTTCCAGTTTTACCTCAGTAACACAACGAGGTTGTTTTATTTAACATGACCTTTCCATCACTGAGACCACAAATAAAATCTACCTTCTGAGTATTATCTCTATTGTCTGGGCACAACTGTACTGAGGTGTAACACTGATCACAGGCAGAGAAGCTCCTGCATAAGTAAATACATAAATAAATCCTCCAATAAAACCTGAGCTG